CCGATGTCCAGCTGTGAATGTTTACGACGTGAACTTTAGTCACCTCAGTTTTTTTTTTACAAAGAATTTCGCTGTTCACTATTCATTATGAAGATAACGCGAAAACTCAAGATGCAACTAAAATCAGTAAATATTTTACAATTGCGTAGGCGATGATGTGTAAAAGATTAAACGATACTCCTATTGTAGTATTAGGAAATATTTTTATGTGTAGTGAATAAACTGGGGGCTATGCCTTTTTGATTTTGGGAAGGGAGGTTTTGGCCCAATGGCGTCCATGAATGAAACTTGTCATAGGCATAAGGGTTATAACAATAGACACTAAGTGAACAATAACTATTTTTTACCTAAAACTCGGTCAATTGTTTAATACAATATCGACGTTATAAAATATTACAATTATAGATTTCAGGCTTTATAACAAGTATTTAAATATATGTTAAGCAAGTCGTAGAGAAACTGAGCTAGCGGATAAATATTAGACTGAAACCTTGGCCAACCCAAAAACAAAACCGGAATGTTTTTACAATAATAGCACAACTGTCCTCTCTTAAGTTATACATTTTTTACAGCAATATTATAGTATTAATTAATTCTAGTGTCATCATTATTAGGTATAAAAATAAAATTATTTTTTAATTTACATATATGTCGGCTTTTAATTCATCATCATGGGAGCAGTAACAAGGTTCATTAAAGAAATCTAAGTCGTCAGGAAATAAAGCATAATCATGGGAGGAATACAAGAACAACAAACATAAAAACATACTTTTGTATTGTTGGTATTGTATAATGTCAATTTATATTTAAGAATTTAAAGTCAAAGGGATCTCTGTGCCCTATATAGTCAGTCTTAGTCGGACTACTTTATTTATATTTTTGAATTAACATAACAGATGAGAAAATCTTTCCCGAGTTATACAAAAAATAATACAAGCAATTGCAATATTTTAATGAATAAATAAGACCATTTTTGTATTTACTTCATTGATGGAACAAGAATTGGCATACCTTTCCAATCTTGTTAAAAAGTGAGCCGTCTGACTGTCATTCAATCTATCCAAAACATTCCAAATTAATTTCTTAAGCTCATGCCGGTGAATATTATATATACAAAATACATGACACAGAATCTAGCTTTATGTCGAAACATAGCTGCGAGCAAGGAATGAAAGGGGCTTCTTCGAAACAAATATCTTGACGGCGAGTTTTGAGAATAGTTAGAATCTAGCTTTATGTCGAAACATAGCTGCGAGCAAGGAATAAAAGGGGCTTCTTCGAAACAAATATCTTGACGGCGAGTTTTGAGAATAGTTTCCTGTTAATAAAAATTATAAAGTGAAAATAGTATCCTATGAGAAAGTCAAAAAAGCATATTATGGAGTCTTTAACATCACTTTCTCTTTCTTCATACTCTATCTAGTCATTAAGGGGAAATATAACCTCAAATGGCTTAGCAAGATATTATACAAAAGTATGTTTTTATGTTTGTTGTTCTTGTATTCCTCCCATGATTATGCTTTATTTCCTGACGACTTAGATTTCTTTAATGAACCTTGTTACTGCTCCCATGATGATGAATTAAAAGCCGACATATATGTAAATTAAAAAATAATTTTATTTTTATACTTAACAATAATGATGACACTAGAATTAATTAATACTATAATATTGCTGTAAAAAATGTATAACTTAAGAGAGGACAGTTGTGCTATTATTGTAAAAACATTCCGGTTTTGTTCCTGCGGAGCGACAGGAACCAAGCTTACGCGCCGATAGTTTAGGTAATTTCTTTTTACAGTGAAAATAATGATATTTTAAAAAAAGTAAATAACATAAGCACTGCTTTATGGTTAGTTCAGTTAGTATGCAAAGTTTCATGATCTTATTTAAAGTATTTTATGAATAACAGCGGTTTATTGTTCAGTTTGGAGGTAACTTTGGATTTTTTTTCTATCGAGAAAATTTTACGAAATCGTGTTTTCGTCTAATGTCGCCTCTACACGTTGGCCAACACAGTGGCGAATGGAGTGGCGAATATATTGGCCGAGAGTTGGTGACGGCGTCCACACGTTGGAAGATCGTTCAGTTTACTTCGGTTCGGGCCAATGTACGGACGAATTTATAAGCACCGTGGCGCAGTGGCTCAGCAATGAGTGGCTGCGCCGGGCGCCGCGGGTTTGATCCCGCACGGAACAAGTATTTGTATGTCCTACAAATAATTGTTTCGGGTCTGGATGTGTGTCCTTGTGCAATTTATGTTTGTAAACTGCCTGCGCGATACGGGAGAAAATCCTAGTGTGGGGTTAACGTTTTTATAAAAGAATTATAAAATAATAGTGGATATTAATGGGGTTGTAAATAGATATACAATATACGATTAGCTTTATTTATTCTTTACATGCATCATAAACTGGAATAAAGACCATTAATAAAAACTTAACTTATTTTAAAGTTAAAGGAGTTATAATCGATTATCTATGTTTTAAAATTGGGTTTTGATTTTAAAATTTAGCAAAATATGTACTTGCATTTCTGTCAGACATTTAATGTATATAAAAAACACCTTATAATTTATTTGTAATTTAATTATTTTTGGAGAAAGACAAAAACAATAGCAATAAATATAATTAACACTGACTTAATAATAGGTACTAATTATAACTTAGAACATAAATGAAAAACTCATGACGAGCAAAGTGGCTCAGGACCATGCTTTGTGGCAGTCTGTGGAGGAGGATGTTCAGTAGTGGACTTGTGAAGAGCTGTAATGATGATGATGATTAGAAAACTTGCACGATTAAATTATAAGAAATCGACGCTTTTTTATATAGGATAGGGTGACAAACGAGCACACAGTTCACCTGATGGTAAGTGGTTGCTGTAGACAATAGACATCTACATCTATCCTCGATTACGAATCAAGATGCAGATGCGTTGTCACCCGTGAGGACTAAGATGAAATGCCTCGTTACCTTTAAAAAGTGTCTCTGGTTCTCTACACTCACTATACGAAACACAGCATCATTAAGCTACTATTTTACATTGATATTCTGTGAGAGCGTGGTCCTTCCCCGGTCGAACCGACCCATTCGTGCTACAACTATACTTCTAATATAACTGCATGGTTCTACCACGTATAAACGACGTGCTTCATTTTTTTTTTCATTTTAAAATTGTTCTCGTAATAATCTGATTGTAAGTAAATGTTCATTATTTTTTTATAAATAGCTTATCGATTAAAACAAATGTTTAAAAATAATTAAATCGCGCTAATTAAAGTAGTAGGAATGTTTAAAGTGGAAATTGGCACTAAAAGGCTGGTAATTGGGTCATCCACTCTACAAAGCGTGAAATCAGATGCGTGTAATCACTCTGGGAGCTTGTAGCAAACTAAACACGCGGCCAACGTGTGGACGCGGCGACCAAACTCTGCCAACAATTCTTTGATCTTTTGTAAAAAACCGACACCACACGGATCTCGCGCCAACTTGCGGGCCATCGTTCCAATAGATACCAATGAAGCCCAAACACCCCGTCTACACGTTAGCCAATGCTATTGGCCACTACATTCGCCACTGTGTTGGCCAACGTGTAGAGGCGCCGTAACATAAACCTTAACATTAATCCTCAACTTTACCATATATTTATTTCAAAATTAATGCTGCAATACTTACGGCATAACGGAGGATCTTGTTAAGCCATTTGAGGTTATATTTCCCCTTAACGATAACTTCTTATTCCGTGTTCTGTGGTACGGACATTAAAATAAAATAAAATATACGTAACAAGACAAAAGAATTAGAGCGAGTATTTGCATTCATCGCTAGTGCAGAAGACTTGCTCTGACAAATATGTAAAATAAAAGACAATAAACTTCAAATTACGTCACAATGGTTACCTGGTTGACAAATCCTAAACTGGTGTATAAACCAGGACGAGACCTTGAAACATTCACTAAATGCTATCGAGACGAATCTTGAGTCGAAGTTGCGCGGGACGCCCACCTCGTTTGTTGAGTATTTACTTGTTTTGTTAGAGAATTTGTAGATATGCATAAATGTGAATACGATAGAAAAAAACGCAGCGACTTGTTACACGTTTCAAAAACTTTCTTATTGTTAGTTCGAAATTTGTTGTACGTGTAATTTACTATAACTTTTATGTCGTATACTCGTTTATTTATCCAGGACGCGATAATGAACAAAGAATATTAAGCAATCCGCAACAGGATGGAATAAAGCTCGGTGGTGAGTCATGGTAGGTTGTGCAACGACTTTTGCACAACCAGTCGTCAGACCCCTGACCGCCGCTGTCATAGAACGCATAATAATTCAGGTAAATAGACTCGGTGACGTGACAATAATTGGATTTATAGGCACGCCAGGGGCGTAACGCTCTAAGATTAATGCCTCGACACAAATACACAAAATCGCTCATTGATTGTGCTTAGCTAAAATGATGTATCTATATACATAATATATTATATTAAATTAAATTGGTCCATTTTCGTGTTCTACTGACGAGGGCCAGTTGCTACTAAATGCAGTAACGGTATGTACTAACGGCATGTAGGCTAAACGTTAGTGTTTTTTTTTAATACAAATAAACACTAATTAACTATTAATAATATTTGTATCAAATTATTATTGTTTAAATTTATTTTCGATCTTTTCATATGAATAAAAAATTTAACAAGTGATAGTTGAGAAAAGCGATCAGTTCTACAGATTTCAAAATTACGAAAGTGCAATAGCATTGCACTTTAGCTCTAGACCGACCGGTAGCGCAAGTCGATGTACTCGAGGCACGGACAGCGCACAGCAAGCTTAGCTTTTTCTATTTTTATGCGATCGAGATACGCGGCTTCGGATCTCTTCAGTAGACTTGGTATTTATTTAATGGCCTTGCATTCGTACGGCGCCTGGACAAACTAAGGGGAAACGTTTATGGATGCATACTAATAGGTGAGGGATATGGGTATGTTAGTACGTGTGGTATTAGGTAACTACATACGATACGCTCCACTCGTGTTCCCGCATGCTTTTTTGGAAAGCGGCGGACTTGGGCGTCCAGGAATCGACGCCGAGGTAGAGGGCTGGCAGCTCTGCGACCTTAACTTCGAGGCGCTCGGCGAGCCTCTGCTCCACGATCGCCTTGGGCCCGCTTGTCAGGCGCTGCTGTTCCTTCCCGCTGTGCCGCTCAACCCCAACGTAGCCGTTCTTCTCACCGTTGCAAGACGTCACGCTTTTTGGACCATCTGTGCTGAACAATTTACTCTTAACGGTGTCCGCTTTACCGTAACTTGTATATTGCACTGATTCTGTTCCGTTCGCTGTTCGCGAATACTTCAAAGAATCATACGTGCTGCCGTTCAGGCTGCTGTACTCGATGTTGTTTAGGTTCATGTCCCTGTCGACGCGCTTAGACGTCGCTTCGTACCCGTTTCGTTTGCTGTAGCGCTCCTCTTGGCTTTGTTTAAGAAAGTTATCTTCAAAACTAGTTTTACATTTAGGAACGTTTTTCAAGTAATCGCTATAGTTCAAATCATTATTGTGTAATCCCTTATCACAGCCCTTTTTTAGTGTTTCCTGTATATCTATTCCGTTTCCAGTTGACCGGCTGTAGCTTAAACTGGCAGGTTGTCCACTTTCGCCTCTTAATTCTCTTTCTCGTTCTGATTCTTTACTTTCGAATTCGTGTTTGACAAGTGCGACACGTGAAACTTCTTCGCTGTTTTTGATTTGCGATTTAAGAGTGAAGTCTGCTGTCGCTATGCCAACCCTACTCTGTTCGCTGGGAACAGTCCACGTATCATGCTTTCTCTTATCGCTACTTTTTGACGACCACGCTTTAGCAAGAGCCGCCTTTAGCGCCTCACGTCGCTCATGAACGCTAACCCTGGGATACTCGTGTATAGGCACGATGGCGGGAGCGTATAACGTAGATCGTGGGGTCGCTCGTGTTATTCGGAAACTTCTGAACTCCCTGTTGAACTCCGAATTTAGAGAATAAGCCGGTATTCTCGAAGTCACCATTTTGAGATCAAAATTTCCACTAATGTTAAAATACTAAACTTAGTTTGTTCACGATAGTTCTCTTATTAGCACCGAATACACTGAACACATATCGACTCTACCTAAAACGAAATATGGATATCTCTGTGGAAAAGTGTTGAACTTTGATAGAAAAACACGAAGTAGGGTGCAGATAGCGTTGCGTTGGGGGTTCGGGGGTCGAGCTGGTGCAGTGCGTGCATGAGGATGCGCTTGTGGGCCGCGACCTTCGCAGTGGGCGGCGGCGTGGCGCGACGCGGCGGGACGATGCACTGGTCAACGAACCGCCCCGTCCGCTCCCACTCGCAGCTTGCATAACGCACACGCGATCTGCTGTCTACCTCATCTCTTATGCAGTTATGTTACCAATCGCGTGAATCGTATGAGTATATTGCATGCGTCGGAAACTATGACAGTTTCGTTTTAATATTCATGAACTGTGACCGTCAACAGACGAATTTATTAATCTAAAGATAACGATAAGACGTCACTCGGTATGTTGTTGACTCGTAATGTGGAGCAGTTATGCCGTATAAGTGCAACAAGTGTCGCCTTGATGGCGTCCCTAATATGGCCACCGGTTGCCATATGGTCCACGACCGACACATCCTCGGCTGATCGACCCTCTCCTTAACAATCGCACTATCGATGTATGAACACTTATTGTAAACCGACTCTCACAAGTAGTTGCTTTTATTTCTTTATATGATATAACTTCCGTGCCGCATGTTTTTAAAGTTTTATTAAGTGGAAGCAGTCGCATATTTCTACTGAACAAACTGACATTGAATAAAACATAACAATCGTTGATTTGTAAATCAGCTAGCATTATTTATGTGCGTGCATTGCTTATGCGCTGATATGTAAGTCAGTTGTTTTTAAATATATCGAGATGAGATAACAACACGGCGTCGTATGCAAGCGAATATAATTCAAGCACCGTTTATTCAGCGTTCAGAACGAGTTTAGTATCTAGTTCAACACATTTCCACATTTGTTTCGCATAACGAATAGGTACACTATGTAGAGCGCTATCCCGATCGCTGCACCGGATAATTACGACTCGGGCAAAAACTTCAACGGTCGTGAAACGCGAGGGTAAGTATTGTCTGTTGCGGGGCAGACAATTACGATATACCAAGTGGAGAGCACCGGAAGCGCGTTGCATACGCTCGTCCGTGCATACCTTCTCGTAGCGCGCGCGAGAACTGCGTGCGGTGTGCGTGCACCGCTGCGACTGAACTGACTGAGGCAGGCAACGCACACTCACCGCCGTGGCCCCACCGCTACCGCCACCGCCACCTCTCTACTGTGGTCCACCACTAGTGACTCTAACTTAGAGCAATACGGCCGGAATCGCAAGAGCACTGACCTTCGATACCGCACCACCTCGAGCGGCCTGCATCAACTAACGTCGCGACCAATACACTAAACCACATCTCGATTCTCGACACGGAAATTATCCTTTAAAAGGAATGGAATGGAAACTTATCGGAAACTCGCGAAGAACTGAACCTTCATAATATAAAATAATTAAAAACTATTGTCTATTAAACTTAAAGAAAATTATTTCTGGGGTATCTTCTCTCGGGGAACAGATAGTGCTGCGATTTATAAAATTTTGTAGAGCGTTAACTAACTTACACGCACGAATTTATTAATTAGTCCGGCGAACGTCCACGCCAACATGATTGATGTTTATTTTATGCGAGAAATTTGTGAAAGAGAGTTTTGGACTATCACTAGACCTCACCTTAATATGTTGTGTTGTAAGCGCATTGAAATACAGAGAATAAATACCTGAAACAATGAAAAATAAAAAAAATTAGCATTCAATAATGAGAGAAATTAAATAAACGGTTAAGTTAATGTCTTAAAAAGAAATCGATAATACTTAGCGAATGGAGTAACTTAAAGGTCAGGAAACAATTGCTCTTTATAATCGCTTTTAGCAGTGCATTATGGCTTTAATGCTGCTGTTGATAGAAAAAATTTTTACATACAAACATACAGCCACGCATGTAATCCCTGAGAGGTTAGGCAGAGCAGAGTTCCAAGAGCAGTGCGATGCTACTCAGGCCACGTTAAGCCAAACAAAGGTTTAGATGGAAAATTGTGAAAGAAGTGACAGGTGACTAGCCGTTCGCCAGCACACCACCACAAACCCAAATATCCTATTATACTAAATTAACTCAATATTTTACGGCATGTTACACGAGTAACATATTTGTATCATTCCTTTTTTTAAGTCACTGATAAACACGGAACCTATAAGTCCATGAGGAACTGAGAATATTTTGTCTTATATTATAAATTAGAAACATACAAAGGTTATTTAAAAAAAAAGAGTAATAATTACCATCTACCGTACCATAACACGTACCGGTCATAATCGCATATTAGTGTAACGTGTCAGACGCAATTACATGATAACACCAAAATAAATAAGAATGGAAACCTACCGCAACACTGCTTATCTCGATGTGACACAGGGCAGCCTCTAAGTAGCAATACCTTCCTTGCTTATACTTAGAGAACTGCCACAACGGACAGACAACGACACTGACTCATACTATTCATTTACATATTTATATTTACACTGAACAGTTTATGTATATATTTTTTATCCCATAGACAATCATTATTACAATAAGCAAAACATTTCGAACTTTAAACAAAATTAGATCAATAATGTCTAATGTCTATGGTTCATGGTGTTTTTGCCACCAAGATCGCTAATATTTTATATTAATTAATAAAAGTATCGTATGATGGGTGACGATGACGAAATGAATATATATGAATTAAAAAAATGTATGCGCGGCTGTTTTCTTTTTATTACTAATAAGTAGTACTTGATTAGACATAATATTACAAAAAGTGTAGATATCAATTTGTTGCAATAATTTGTCATTAATAACCACTAGTATCGACCTACACAAAGTAAATCAAAATTATTAAAATATATTTCATCGATTAGAACCACTATTAATCATTAATGCAAAAATAACTAAGATTATAAATAGTAAAGAAAACTTAAATATATAGATTTTCTGAAGAATTCAGAAAAAATCTATCATTTTTTATTCTTATTTAAACAACACTCACAACACAGGTAGGGTTATTTAACAGAGGCAATTCATCATCATTCCATATTATATTCCTACAAGGCCCCTCATATATAACATAAACATAAATAACAAACATCTCCAAAAAATGCTACAATACGTTTTGTGGTTCGATATTATGTCGAGCATTTAGTAGTATTTTTACATGATAGTAATGTCCAGATACACTGTTGACGAGGGCTGATTAAGATGTAGATGCTTGAATTATTTTATGGATAATCATTAGCTTAGTCTTCAGGGATTATAGTGCACGAGGGTGCGCAATTACAGGTGCGCTTTCAATTATCTTACTCTTGTGCCCGATAGGAGTAATCCGTCAAGACCGGTGAAGGGAATCTTTTATACGTGGTAGAGCCATGCTGCAGTTATATTGGTAGTTTAGTTGTAGCACGAATGAGTCGGCTCGACCGGGGAAGGACCACGCTCTCACAGAATACCAGCGTGAAATAGCAGCTTAATAATGCTCTGTTTCGTATGGTGACTGTAGAAGAACCGGAGACTCTTTTTACTAGAAACGAGGCATTCCATCTTAGTCCTCACGGGTGACAACGCATCTGCATTTTGGTTCGTAATCGAGGATAGATGTATTACTTTACTATGCTTCATTAAATGTCTATAGGCCATAGCAACCACTTACCATCAGGTGGACTGTGTGCTTGTTTGTCACCCGATCCTATAAAAAAAAAAAGATCTGGCCTAGGACCAACGCCTTTATGTGCTTTCCGGGGCACACGGGTGAAACATCGTCATAACTAATTACGGCTTGGCTCAGAACAGGCACATGATCTATACACTAGTCTAGTAGTGACTAGACAAACACATATGATAACTCAAGCATTGACTGAAGAAATGAGTTATTGTGTACGAGGTATTGAAATTCAAAAGCGCGTAACTATCACTTAACGAAAATATAAAAGTTCTCAATATCAGTAACAATAAACAAATCGTCGCGTTCAAAGATATTTTATAGGTTTAAAAACGCAAAGACGAGAGAAAGTTAACGAGAGGTAATATCGAAAACAAATTAAATTAATAGCCGGCTGGAAGTTGAAACATAAATTATTCGCCTACGTGTCGTTACCGAGAAATGTAGAAGTTTAATACTTTTGGACGATGGACGCATTTTACTGTCCGACCGCAAATTAAGTAATTTAGAAATTACCATGGTTTTAAAATGTAAGTCGGTTCGTTATTAAATGTCGTCTGGCTAAGTGCACCGTCTTACCTATTTTCACTGTTATCATTGCACTCATACGATTGTGTTCCGTTCAGAAAAGTATTAAAAATACAGTATAATAAAAAGAGTTCTTAGAGCTTTTTTTGTCTTCGCTGTATGTATCCATAGGCTGTATCACTGTTATGTTATAAAAATGTTAAATAAGGACTTTCTTTCAAAAATCGATATTACAGATTTTTTATAGAATAAGGGTGACAAACGAACACACAAGGTCCACCTGTTGATAAGTGGATGCTGTGGCTCACAGACATTACGTCCATCCTCGATTAAGAATCAAAATGCAGATGCGTTGTCACCCCTGAAGACTAAGATAGAAAGCTTTTTTACACGTAAAAAAGGGTGTCCGGTTCTCTATACTCGCCGTACCAAACAGCAGCATCAAGCTGCTATTTTACGCTGGTATGTATACTGGCGCAACGTATGGTCCTTCTCCGATCGAGCCGACCCATTCTCTAAGACAGGCAATATAAAAAAAAATTGTTTTTTATTTCTTTCTAACCATAACTAAACGACAAGTTTATAAATTTTCTTACATTATTGGGTATTTCAAAGGAAAAAAGTAGCAGTATTGATTCTCTAACATTATTTAGTTTTTACGCTACATTATAAAATAAAGA